GGGTGCTCACGCCCAAGCACCTTCTCAGATTCTTCTAGAACTCGTCGATGCATCGCTTCTGCCTCCTTGTACTTGCCCTGGCTTGACAGCACCGATCCAAGCTGGGTGACGCTGATAAGCGTGTTGGGGTGCTCGCGCCCAAGCACCTTCTCTCTTGCTTCTAGCGCTTGTCGATACATCGTTTCTGCCTCCTTGTACTTGCCCTGGCTCTCTAGCACTGACCCAAGATTATTAACGCTAATGAGTGTGTCGGGGTGCTCGCGCCCAAGCATCTTCTCTCTAGCTTCTAGCGCTCGTCGATGCATCGCTTCTGCCTCCTCGTACTTGCCCTGGCTCTCTAACATCAACCCAAGGTTGTTAACGCTAGTGAGCATGCTGGGGTGCTTGCTACCTAGTACTCTCCTCCTCGACTCCATTACTTGTATATAGAGCTCTTCAGCTCTCTTATATTGTCCATCATTCTGTAGAGCTCTAGCGCAATCTTCTGTAAGATTTGTTCCCTCCTCGTTATCGTTCTTCTCACTATGCGACAGTGCATATTGAGCGTGCGGTAGTAGTCGCGTCTATTTGCTTCTATTACTGTGATCGCTGTTTGGAAACACCTGAAGCAGTTGTATGATTGTGCGTTGAGTGTATTCGTAAAGCCGTCCCTGCATCTGTAGCTGCTCTCGTAAGGCTTGGTGCACTAATCAATGCACGTCAAATGCTGACTTAGCAGGTCGCCTTATAACGAGCGCATATCTATCAAGTATCATAATCGCATCTACACGGGCCTGCGGCGAAGCTGCCTCAAGCAGATCGAGTGGAATATCCTTTCGGTCTACGCACGCAGCAACGTAAAGCTGCTCTACAGCAATAGCATTGCTCCGGCGGACTTGACCTATAGAAAGAGATAGTGTAGCAGCTACAGCCTTTCTCAGACTAGACTCTCCCTGCTCGTCTTCACACAGGTTATTGCTGTGCTTAGGAGCTGCTTGATTGTGCTCGTGTAACGTCCATCCCTTCGTGACGGGACTCCCTGTGTGCCGGGACCGGCCAATCAGATCGCAGATTTTGAGTAAAAGTCTGTGATTCAAGCGTTCTGATTGGACGGTCCCGGCACACAGGGAGTCCCGCCACGAAGGGATGCACGTTAGTTGTGCTTGGTACTGCTGCACTGTCATGTTGCTTGCGTTCATGCACGCTGCTGCTTGCGACACTGCTAGAGGCAGGTGCGATAGTTCTCTTAGCAAGCCTATGGCTCCCGGCTGCTCAGCATTAGAGAGCGGCGTTGTCAAACGGGATTGTAACATCCTCAGCGCCGTGTCTGACGTTAGCTCACGCAGCGCTACCACATCTTGTGGAGCAAGCGTCTTAGCCGTGTCGCTTTCTGTTGTTGTGAAAATGACAGAACACAGCTTGGAGTGCGGCAGAAAGTCGGCTAAGTCTGTAGCTTCTGCCGTTGACGAGCCACTATATTGGACAGTTGTGCCCTCGACGTTGTCGAAGATGAGTAAACACTGCTGCGTACTCAGCTTTGCTATGCAACGTTTCACGATCTGCTCTATGTCTGCCTGGTCACCGTCACAACCAGGAACGCCAAGCTTCTGTGCAATACTGGTATAGGACTGGTCGAGACTGTCTTTGTCACTCGCATCGATCCAGAAGACTGAGCAATGCTTGTGTTTCTTTAGTGTTCTATGCGCGACCTCGAGCGCGAGCTGCGATTTACCTGTTCCGCCAGGCCCGACTATTGCAAGCGTTGAGGTAGTCTGTGTGTTGCTAAAGAGCTTCGCTTCTAGTTTAGCGAGCTGCAGTTCGCGACCTGTGAAAGACTTATTGCGAGCGAACGGAATGATTGACGGTGCGCGGCCGGCTCCCTCCACTTCAGCCTGCAGTCTTTCTAACGCACTCTCCCTTCCTTCGCCATAGGTTGCAGGCATAGAGACGCCAAGAAGTCCAAGCAGGCAGTATACCATATCTTCTGTCTCGGTCGTTTCGCGACCGCTAACCCATCGCATGCGCTCAGATATACTGAACTGGCTAAGAGGACAGTTTCGCAGCGCTGCAAGCGGAATGTCGGTGATACTATGTAGTAGTTGGTCGAGAGAGGTTTTGTCGCCTATGCGCTGCCCTTCGCACGAGAAGAATTCTACAGATGCTGGCGCTATCAGCTCCTGCAGCGTCCATCCGCGAGTGAACCACTTGCTCCGCCGAAGCGATACATTCCAGTCCCTGCATAAGACAGACCTTGTCGAGGTCAAGGTCGAGGTCGAGGTCGACGCTGACACATCTGACAAGAAAACGTAGCATCGCACCGCATTCTTGTACCACTAGAACATTGAGTTAATCGCCTTAGAACGCTTATTGTTGTTCCATCTGTCGATACAGCACGTGTCGATCCAGAAGTACTGCAGCCCGTCCTGAGGTACTTATTCGGCGCAGAACCGTAGCTTTCGGTAGCCTTCTTCTTTCTCTTTGTAGTTTTCATTCAATACGTCTTCAATAAGGATCTCGGAGTCGCCCCATCGGTGCGATAGGATAGCGTAGGGTGGGATCGGCTTGCCGCGAAAGTCTGTCAAGATCAGTCTGCCTAGCGCGTCGAGATACCTAGAGAAGCCGTATGGCTCTTGCAGCTCGGACTTTAGTCTAAAGAACTAGAGGCATGAACAACTTTTATGGTAGATAAGTAAGAGCAGAATATTAGTAGGAGTAGAATGGCATCTTTACGATAAAGCAGAGAAGGCAGCCTGGTGAGGCAGTGCACACAACCGGGCTGAAGATACTGCTGGCTGCATCAAGCGCCCAGCGTCCTGCACTGCCTCCCCTCACCATTTACGCTAAGGCAGTGTTTGTCTTACAAAGTCATGGCAGAAGAATGCATATATAGATAAGGTGCTAGTAAAATAGCTAACTAATCTATAAAGGTTATCGTTACAGCGTCTCGCCTAGCTCTATGCGACGGGGGCGGCTGCTTACCAGCCTGGGAATATTAAGAGCTGTCTAAGGTCAGGCGATGAGTGAGAGCCGCAGCTCTCAGCCACAGCGCGCAACCCCTCGCAGATATCTCAGCACGCTACCGCTGCCAAACGCCGCTAAAGTCGCACGGCCGGCTTGTCGCGTTTTAACGATGTTGACGCCAGCGCGGAGTGAGTGAGTGAGTTGTATTTAACGTCTATATATAAAGCCTCCCTTGGGGCATGTAGACGGGCTATGCCTATGACTTGCCGTACTATGCCTAG